CCATAGGCCATAGGGAGTATTTAAAAACACAGAGACTGAGTATTGGTTTCAGTTACATTAGACTAAATACTACATGCCATATTTTTATATGCACATCCATTGCTGGGTAGTCTTTGAAGCAAAAAGTGTTGTTCCTGCAAGTCTAGTTTTATCCTAGTTGAGAGTGCTGTTGGGGACAGCAGTGTCTTAGTCTTCTGTAGGCAGAAGTTTCCTATTGTAGAAGGAAACTGTGTCCTGCTCTTTTTCCTTGACACAAAGGTATTACTGTATGTAACCAAATCCCTGAAAAGCCTGTGATCAAGAATACCCCCTCTTGCTCAACAGACTGGGCAATTCATGTTGCCTGAGAAGACAACATCTTGTGATAAAGTGACACCTATTATCTAGCGCCTCTGTGCACTGCTTAAACAGCAATAAAAAACAGAGTATATATATCCTATGAAATGGAGTGGTGGTGTGGCTCTTCACCATACTTGTCCTGCAGGCAGACCTAATGGCCAATCATTCTTCCAACAGATTCTTCAAGTTACCAAAGCCATCTGAGTGAAAATGCCAGAGATCAATCAGCAAAACAAGGAGATAACAAGCTGGATGTGAATGAGACTTCCTGAATTTGTCCTGAATTTGTTCTTAGCTTTGGTCCAAATGCAGCAATGAGCAGGAAGTTTTAAAAGGGTTGCTTTTCAAACAGTGATATGATAGAATGTGTGGGACTGATGATGCCTCTGATATGCCCCTTCCTAAGTGTTTTGTACATGGATGTGTACATATGTCTGCATATGCACACCCATAACCAGTGTTTTAGATTAAACTAAAATTGTAAGTATGTGAAAACTTGAGATTCTCCTGGCTGAACAGCAAATGTGATTCTTCTTGGTTGATGCTTGATGTGTAACTTCATGGTTACACATCAGTCAGTCAACAGTCATAAAATATGCACCTCTCCTTGCTGCCAGAAGTGTCTGTAGTCATATTCAGCCTATTACATCTCCTTACTACAAAGCATTCTTCTACATAAAAAAAAGAAAACAAGAAAACAAACAAAAAATCTGCAAACAAACCCCCTCTTTATTCATGCACTATTCCTAAAAAGGAAAGAAGTTAACAAAAGTTAACTTCTGTTTTTTAACAGACGTTAAAAACCACTGATGACAAGCTGTTATTCTCTTCTTTCACCTACATACAGATTAAAATCTTACATAGCTGATCATGTCATCCATGTTTCCTTGCATTGTTACAGCATGTCTGTAAGGCACTAAGAGATTCTCTGGCCTCTCAGCAAGCAGCTCACAAAGAAAGAGTGGAGAGGCTGAGGTACAGAAAACCATACAAGAGGGGCTTTCAAATCTTAAACAGGTGACCAAACAGTAGTATGGTAGAAATTAGTAGAAAAATACACAGCCTATAGAGAGAAAGGGACTTGTAGTTGAGTTCAGGGAGGTCAGTTGGTGAAAGATGTGGGAAAAAAGCTGAAATGCTTATACATAAATGAGATACTTGAATTATGGGAGAGATCAAGTAAAGGACAGTGGGAAGCCAGCATAAACTGGGAACAAGGTGAGTGAGTATGTTGTAGCAGTGTCTGAGGAGTCAGCTCAGCAAGGCAGAGAGGAAAATTATATTAACAGATTGATGGGAAAGAGAGAAGATCTTGGTGGGGATGTTTTTTATTTATATGTCCATAGCACAGGTGGTATTTCCTGCGATGTGTAAGGAGAGGAGTATATGGAATTTTGAGGTGCTTTTGAGGTAAAAGCATTAGAGCTTAGCTGAGAGGTGACAGTTCTTTTCTAAAGCTAAAACTCTGAGACTACAGTATAATATATCAAAGATTCTAAACAAAAGTCTATTAAATGTTAGACATTATGTGCATTTGAAGGTGTGATCTGTATTTCCTAAGTAATATTCAAATACCTGCCAATCAACTATTTAGTGTGAGATCCATGATATTTTTAAGCATTTCTGGCACTCCAAACAATGAAGAGCCATCTGAGAGGAAAATAGTCCAGTGGGGGATTTCTCAGGGTGAGGGAAGTAGCTATGATAAAGATTGTGAAATGAGCTGGTCACACTTAGCATTATAGTAGAAAGCATGGTTCATGGGAGACTTCTGGCTGTAGAATACAACATCCATTACCCTTTTGTACCTCTGAAATTCATAACGCTTCTGATAAATCTTCGCCACTCTCATATTGATCAGAACTTCTGTATTCCAAACTGAATGAGAACTTTTAACCCAACCAGTTCAGGATCCCACAAGCAAACCCTCTGAATTATTAGAACTAAAATAAAAGTTTTGTGACAGAAAGCCAAGAGAAACACCTGCCTGGCACACTCCAGCTGTTGCACCTAATATGCATGCTTGGTGCTTAACGCTTTCTTATTGATCCTCAATTTGCAAATATTTTCTGTTGTACTTTTATATTTAATCATCAGCACCTGCCCAGTAATGGCCTGAAGCAGCATGAATGTGGCATGCTGTCCATTTTGAGGATTCATGTTGGTAAGAATGCTGCTGGAAAGCAATACATGAGAAGTGGTAATACACAGCAGTAGAAACGTAGTAGGTCCTGCAATACAAATTACTATTTGTATTTAAAAATAAATCTGAAAGAAACCATTCATTGTGCAATCTTGTTAGATGCTTCCCACAATAAATCTAGCAATGGAAAAGCCTCTTTGGCAGATATCATCTGCCATAAGATTTAGCTGGCAGTGAATTAAATGTTACTAAGGCCACTCTTGTTTTGGTTCTTTTTGTGGTGGTTTTTTTGTTTGTTTTGGTTTCTTTTTTTTTTCCTCTACATTGCTCTCCCTTTACAGCCCACTTTGGCTCATCCTGAATTCCCAGTAATGTCACTGGAAATACCGCAAGAGAACAAGAGAAAGATTGTAGAATCTGACTCCTCAGGGAAGTACCTGAGTGTGTATCTGCAACTATCCCTTAACAGATCTGTTTGAAGCAGCCCTGGACTTGGGGTACATCACTGGGACACTGAACATCTCTTCACACTGGCCACTGCTGCTCTCCCAGCAAGGAGCTTGCTGTACCTGAGAACAGCCTGACACCAGTGAGCTCAGTGCTGCCGTGACTGTGCTGCTGGTCACTCTCCAGGGTGCCAGTGGTAAAAGGATTTTTCACAGCATCTACTGAGTATAGAGAGCTCCTATGAGCAGTTAACAAACCTAAATACAGAGAATAACAGAAGATCATATCTCACAAGATTTGACCTTAACAGGCTTAGGTCACACATGTCTAACAATTCAATTTTGACCTTAAAACTTTATTTTAAGGGGTATTTAATGGGACCAGGCTTGTGCAGTGTAAAATCTGCCTTTAAAAATATATGCCAAATCAGTTCCCCCTTGGTGTGCTGGAGCACATGGGCCCTGTGGCGGCTGGAGCAGAGGGGAGCAGCAAACAGCTCCTGAAAGAGCCATTCCCCAGTGGAGTGTCAGTCCTTTTACTTTGAAATATACAAACACACATATCTGTGGAAAGTTGCTGAGTTCCCTTGAGTTAACCAGCTTCTGCTTTTGAAAGTGGCTGGTGAAGCTCTTCCTGCCTGTATTCCCCGTCCTGCTGAGGATGAGCTCTTTGTGATTTGCTGGAGAAAGGTACTAACTGCAAGGCACATGGTGGAACCTTTTGGTGGATCTTTTGTAAATCCCTTTCTTTCTTTTTACTGCCTGGGAGTGCCAGGTGTTCTACTCATCAAATGCTCTTGATTCCCTGTATGCAAACCTGCTAGAAGACATGGGGTTCTTCTGGAATAAGTATGGGAATTTGCCTCTGAGTTTCAACCCTATCAGATCCATAAAGTCTACTTATAAGATATAATAAAAGGAGGGTTCTGCATGTCTTTAAAGATGAAGTATGAAAAATAAAAAAATTGAGAAGCATCAGATCTCACTAGTGGCTCATCTCACACATACCCAGATACTATCCCAGTTTGTGAAGCATAAAGAAGTCACATCTGCAGAGCTTCTCCAAGGGAAGGAGTTCCTGAAATAAATCCCCAGGTACAGTCTTACCATTTTTGTTCTAAAAAAAAAGTCCAACTTACCCTCAGAGATCTTTGTTCTATAGTACAAACTTTTAGGAAGTAGTAAACAGTTTCTGTTTCAAAAAGCTTGCATTCTAAGCTCCTGGTCTTTCCATCCATTTTTCTGATGCCAATGACTACTTGCTTAGCTTTTTTTTTTTTTTTTTTTTTTTTTAATCCATGAGATTATACAAAGGCATAAAGCTATGCCTAGACTTTTGTCATATGAGAGCAAAGATAAAGGTAGGATGTGAGAAAGGAAGTATTTGTTATCCACGTCTTGAGGATGAGGAACTGAAGCACAGCAAAAAATGAGATCCTCATCCTCCACAGAGCGTAAATGTGCTTAATTCTTAAGCATGAATAATTTCCATCAGGTTTGCCGTGCCCTTCGGACTGAAGAGTAAGGTCTGGATTTCAGCTACTCTCTCTGCCACCGATTTTAAGTAAGTTGCTTAAGTTCTGGTCCGGCGAACCAGAATTCAAGTTCACAAAAAGCGCGGGACGCGTTTTTCACGGGTTGCGAAAGACTAAGTTGAAGTAAAGAAGGATGATCTGACCCCTTAGCTCGGGAGGTGAATTTCTGCAGCTGACGGCCTGTGACTCTCGGCCGTATCGCTGTGCCTGGTAGCAGCCTGCCGTGCGGGGACACCCGAGTCCCGGCACCGCACGAGTCCGGCCCCGGGAGCGTCCTTGGGGCGGCGCGGAGCCCGGCCCCTCTCCCGCGCTTCCAGCTGTGCGCAGCCGACGGGGCACCCCGCTAACAGGTAAAGCAGGCAAATGTCCCCTGTCCCGAGGGCCGCCGCTCGCCCGCCGCCGTCCCAAGCACCGGTGGGGCGGGGGCGGGCGCGGGTGCGGAGCGGGCGGCGGCCGCGCAGGGCAGAGGGCGGGAGGAGAGCGGGAGCGGCGAGGGAGGGACCGGGCGCGAAGCCACCGCCCTCGGGGCAGCGCCGGCACATGGAGCGGCGCCAGCCGCCGCCGCAGCTGTCACCCGCCCCGGCCCCGGCATAGCAGGTACCTCGGGGCAAGGGGTCCCGGGCGGGCACCAGCTCCAGCCACCGGGGCGAGCTGCGGTGCGCGGGTGCGGAGGGGCCGCGCGGAGCCGGTGCTGCCGTGGAGAAGTTGCCGGGCGCGTTAAGTGGGAGGCTGCGGAGCCCGGTCGTCCCATCCCATCCAAACCCATCCCATCCCTTTCTTCCCCTTCTCCCCGTCCCACACGCTTTTTTATTTATTTATTTATTTTTTAATTGAGGACATTGAGCCGAACATACAACTCGGGTGTAATCCAGGCGTTTTAGAGTGCTTCCTTAAAATTTCAGAGATCAGTAGTCATGAGGAGCTGCCCGAGAAGGGGTATTCATTGATTCAAATGCGGATTGGTCTGTGTTCTCGAGTCAGCTGCAGCACTTAGGTTCAGTCAAAGCCCGCGTTCCGAGTTCTTGCGTCTGTAGTTTGCAGAGGGGAGGCAGGTACGGAGGTCACAAAAACTATTAGGAAATTGTAAAATTAGCAGCCCCAATGCTCTTGAGGGGAACGGCATTAGAGAAGTTGCTGACTTCCGAATAGCGGTGGCACCAGAAGTTTTCTTCCTTGCCATACAGCCTGTTACAGCTGGAGGGTTTTTCTCACCCTGCTCCGCAAAGTTGCCCTCTTGGTGAAGGGACAGTTTCGCTCTGCTGTCGTTGCTAAAGAAGATGCGCTTAGTTAGAAACTGTGTGTGTGAAGAAATGAGTTCCCACTGCAGCAGTCAATTCTAAGGAAACTTTTAATTTTGTGCTTCAAGAAACCTGATTACTTCTTGGATTGCTTTTCTACCTTGGTTTAGAAGGTATGGTAACACTGCCAGACATTGTGCAAAGCATTCTGCTTCCAAAATTTTTAAAAGTTAATAATACCGTATCTGAAAATTGTGTAGTGTATGATTGCAAATTACCTCAAAAAGTGATGTTTTGTGGGATGCAAGAATTTTTAGACCTGTATGGCCAGTAGCTTTAAGTATTGAAATTGTTGTAGAGGAATATAATGTTATTTCTTTTTCCTTTTTTTTTTCTTTCTTTTTACTTTACTTTTTCTTTTTTNTTTTTTTTTTTTTTTTTTTTTTTCCTTTCACTAAATTTTAATGTAAGAAGTTGTTTCGAGGTTTTTTTTTTTTTTTTTTTTTTTACGATTTAGAGCTTCTTGACTATGTATTTTTCTTTCCAATATCTGGATGCTACCAAGGTTACATTGATATGCATTTACTGTCCAGATGTCCAAACTTTACCCAAATTAAATAAACCAGGAATATAATCCTGGTTATATTTTGTGCATTCATATTAATAACCCCATTTTCTAGACTTTAATAGTTTAGTTTTAAAATTCGAAGCTGTAATGCATTGTAAGGTCCAAATCCTTTAAAAGACAGGCTTTGTTAGTTTCAGTTGACTGCTCACATCAGTTGTAACTCACACACACTCTGCAGTGCCGTGGAGTATGACTCGCTGTTAAACATTATAAATGATCATTGAAATGTAAAGAAAAAGCATATTGATATGTTGTATTTGGAAGTAAGTACTAAAATTCTTTTCAAATACTTGGAAATATTTTATCTGAATCAGCTAAGCAGGGGCATGTTCAGAGTGGCTTGTGGCACTGCTCTCTCACCTTGCTAGTGAATTGCATAGTTTAAGGTGTTTGAAGCCTTAGTGAAATAAAAAATGAAAGATGCAATGCCTTTAGCTTCTGAATTTTCCAAACAAAATTTTTGCATTTACTTAACTTTGTTTATTCTTTGTTCTCTTTGTTACTGAGGGAAAATATAAGTCCGAATCATGCGAATGGATTTGACCATGTTACCATGAAAATTCCCCGTTCATGGTTAATATAACAGTTGATACAGTAGTTGATACTGTGTCTCTTTTCTAAAAGGTTTCCTTGCTCCCATGCATAGACTTCTTTCTAACATTGGCATGGTCTGCTTTGATTTTAATTCATGTTGGTCAAGAAACTCAATAAAAACCACAAGTTATACTACTTAGAGAGCCTTTTGTCCCCACCCCCTCAATCCTTAGCAAAACTTTACCAAGTTTTAGTTACATGGCTGTATGCCTTACTTCTTTGTCAAAGCCTTTGAAACTGAAGCCTGAAGACATGAGAAACCAAGTACAGTCTGTGTGCAAGACCAAGGATTCTTAAAACAGTTCATGTCCTTATGATAGCTGTCTGTAGCAGAACTGCAGGGGGGGAAGTGTCCGAAATACTGCAGAGCTCTGCACTTTACATAGTTCATGGTTTTGTTATCCCAGACTTGCTTCCAGCCTTAAAGATTTTCTCACAAATCTTAGTATTGGTGACTACCCATGTGCTCTTTTTCTTATTTTTCTTTGTTTGTTTGTTTGGGGGTTTTTTTGGTTTGTTTTTTTTTTTTTTGGGTAACGTAGGTGAAAATCAGAACATGATATACTGCAAGTTTATGAAAAAATATAAATAGAAAGTATATCCCTAATTAGATGGTAAATTTAAGATAAAAAGCCAAGGAGAAATCAGGTTTACCCACTGAGTGCGAAGACTGATGAGACTAAAGTCAGTGGAAGCCCAATGCTGGACATCCCCAGCATCCAGGATTTCAAACCGAATGCACTGATCCTTGCAAGAGTCTTCTACCTACTGGGTATGGCTTCCAGGGAAAATGACAGGAAGCATAATATGAAATTTTATTGACTGTCCTGATTCAGTCAGGAAGGAGTGATGGACCATAGTATTTGAAGAGGAATCACTAATATCTCTGGGCCAATGTAATGATGGGAAGACAGGGCAGAGGACTTCATGCTCCCAGTAACTGGAGAAACTTAGATACCGATCCTACGTGCATCCTTTATTCCAGCTGAGTATTTCTCAGGGTGGCTACTTATCTACAAGTGAGAAAAGTGCCTTGGTGTGTTTTCAGTAGGTCCCATACTCCTGAGTTGCATTACAGAGACAAGCTTGTCATATGCATCAGACTTTCCACCCTAGCTCCCAGCTGCCGGTACTCCCCCCGTGAACAACACTTTTGTCATTTGTGTTGCATTCAGCGTACCATTAAAAAATGCAACAACCTCCATCTCAGCATTACTTGTAGCAGTTTTCCTATCCCCTGTGGATCTTAATACCAAAAACCTAGTCTGCTTGCTGCTTCCACTGCATAGCAATGCAGAAATGTAACTGGATAACCAATCCACGGAGTTTTACAACAATGCAAAATTTCTTTCTCATCATTAAAATTGGATAACTCAAAAATGAAGCCAAAAACATTTCCAGCCATATTTTATTTGAGCTAAGGTACTTATACTAACACCACAATTTTGCAGAAAACAAGGAAATGGGTCCAGTCTGTATTTCAGCAACAAAAAGTGAGGGTATAATGAATCGTATGCTGTCCTGGCAGATCATTTTTGGCAATGTCCTCTTAAAAAGTCCAGAAGATATCGAAAGTTATGGATCACAGCCTAATTGTGTGGCTCTTTGTCAGGAAAAACTTCCACTGAAGGCTTATGGGATTTTTTTTCTCCTGTTTTATGTGCAAGAAAAGCTGGATCCATAGTAATTTTTGTTTTTTGGTCAAGATTCACATATGTACTTCATTACATTTTGATCAGTCATTACTTTCTACTATTATTAAATGTAATAAAATTAGACAAAAAAAATCATAATAAAATAGTAGAATTTAGTGTAGCAATAATGGAATCTTTGGAAAATGTTGTCATCCTTATGAGAGTAAAGCAGGATGCTGCGCTGGCTCCCCCGGAATTCCCCTCCCAAGTTACAAACACCACTTTTTTAGCAAGTATAAAATTACTCAGAAAGAAAGAACACTGGGAATACATTATACCAGTTGAGAAGTGGAAGATAAGGACTCTCATCAGTGTTTTCTGGGGCTATAATTCTTTGGGAAGCCTTTTTAAATGCTTGCAACTCAATGCAAGAGTCAAAAGAGGAAAGACCTATTCTTCACTGGTATTATTTCTGTAATCCAAAGATTATTTTTGCTCCCCCCACCTGACACTGGTGTGGAAAAGCATTTAGAAATGCGTGTGAATGCCATGTAAGGCAAGGCAGACAACCTCAGTCTTGTCAGCTTTATGGCATTTTTTTAAACAGGTGGTTACTTTAAATAACTTCCACTCATCCAAAGTAGCTGCAGGAGTTTTCTCTCTGCAATGGCTATCCAACAAAGTGGACTGACTTCATCTGGAAAACTCCCTTCTTCCAAGGTCAACTGTGGCTTGTTGTCCCTTTAACAGTCTATATATAAACCTAACTACAACTCAACAAAAACTTTGTTTGCTCCCTAAATTTAAACAGAATTATGTTTACCCCTTAAGGTATGTTGCAATGCATCTTTATTAAAAACCCAACAACTTCTGCCTCACCCTTCTCCTTCAGAACATAGCTTCCTCCATGCTTTAAGGTGGTGAACAGGAAGAGAGCATGGTTTTTTTGCACTAAGCAGTTTGCCACCAACACTGTGGTGGCTGCAAAAGTAGGTCTTAGTTCTGAAAAGATACATGCATGTTCTCAGCTTTGTTTGTACCATTGCAAATTCTTGGGGGGATAGAACCATGCAGGATTGGGAACTGCATGGCACTATCATGCTTCCTGTGTAAATGCTTCCAAAGGCCATTCAGACTGCAGGTTTGGATGAGCAGTCACATTGAAATCATCATATTTTTTAAGCCATGGGAACTGTCCACCTCTCTTGCTTATCTTGCTTATTTCATGTGAAAGATTTACATTTCTTCTTCTGATCCCACTTGTTCTAGCTCTCTCAGTGAAAGAGAAACTTGCTCTGTAAGAGAGATCAGATTCCCCACTGAATTGCTTCATTTTTCTGCTTGTTTCGACTCACTGAGAACAGTACAGCAATTGCAGTATAAAACTGGAATTGACTATAATGGATTGGACTCAGAATATTTTCAAAAGCAGAGTGAGTTAACTAAAATATGTAGTGTGGGGGAATTTGCTAATTTGCTTTAATTTTAGGAATTCTTTTTAGG